GCCGCGCGATCTCTTCGATCGGACGGCCAGATCAGATCACGCCGGCATGAAGCTCCAAAAGGAGCTAGCCCAATGGTATATACCGTTTCTCAGATTCGATCTCGGTATCTGTCGGGTGACAGTTGAGTGCGTTATCCTACTGGGCTAGCTCCTGTTTCACACTAAACAGGAGCTGCTCTTCAATATGAAGAGCTTAGCCCAGGTAACATCCCTGCCTGTGGCTTTGCAGGCTCCGCTCGTGTGTGGCCTAGCAGGCTTGCCCCGGCTGTGGCTTAGTAGGGCTGTCCTGCCTGTGGCCTGCCGGCTTACCTGCCCGTGGCCTATGCATACCGGTTAACCGTGTGGTCGCGGCTGGGTCGGCCATCGAACCGGGTAAGTTTTGGCATTGGCTTATCGGCCCCAAGGCTCGACGTCAAACCCCGCGGCCTGCGTCACGGCCCTATACCCCGCTCAACCCTCTTTTTAGCCCACTTAAGTCCTGAATCGCGCGGCTGCGACATTACTTTAGGTAGACTAGGTATAACTCTAGTCTTTCCATGACTGCACACTACTGTGGTCTCGTCAAAAACCCGCGGATGACAGTGCTGACTTCCGCTATCCCGTGCGGACGTCGATGTCGTCTTGCGTTGACGACGTCAGGTTCCAAAAGGTTTAGGTTTCCCAGTCATAGCGCTGGTCTGAATAAACGTTTGACAAACATCAGTCTCATCAAGTCCTTCAATTCAACGCAAGAGTCGGACAACGTCCAACGTTCAAAAAACACCGGCAAATACCCTTGTCAGGGTTTTTGCCCCGTCAACGCTCAGGAAACAATGGCATATCTGGAAACACTCCTATTATTCTGTTTTTCTGCATTTGTAGTTTTGCTTTTGCAAAGCTTCGGACCCCGAAGTGACAATTTTCTCATCCATGATCATCCATGTCATAGCTTGCAGAGATACGTTAAGATTCTCAATGACAACCGTTGCCATATGTTACATGCCCAATTGGGCGATGTACATATATAATCGAGGATCCGCAATGTGATGAAAATGACTGCATGGACAATGCAGTGCTAGTGAAATCTCAACAAGCAATGTACATCCTGATACATACAAAAATGGTGCTTGATAGCGCAGTGGAAGACTTAGATATAAGTCCTGACCTGACCGGGACTGATCTCCCTCACGTAGTGCAACACAGCGCATCAGAATGCTAGAATACCAATCAATGTCGCAATGCAGACCTAACATACATCATCCTCATCACAAGGTGTAAAGGGGGCCTGGCGGTACACACAGGAAGAATGTGCCAGGTCCAGACCATACACAGACGAAGAGSAGGGGATCAGACGAAGAAGAGGGGGGAGACGGGAATGTCGTTAACACCAAAGTCTTCGGTACAAGTCCCAGATAATACTTCGTCAAATGTCTGAAGCCCAATGTTGAGTCTGGATCCACATGTCACCAAGCCCGCTCTCTCGTAGTCTGTTGATGCAGTGAAGTCAGGTAGCGAGAGGGTGAGAGGGAGATGGTGGACTGAGAAGAGGAAGAAAAACTCTCTCTCTCTCTCTCTCTCTCTCTCTCTCTCTCTCTCTCTCTCTCTCTCTCTCTCTCACGTGCCAGGTACGAACCTGTGAAGATGGCGCTGTGCTGCAGGTACCTCGAAGACGAAGCTGGAGCTATGGCGCTGCAGGTAAGTCTCCCTGGCCTCCACCCAATCTCTCTCTCTCTCCAGTACTACTCTAGCTCCTACTAGCGCCCAGCGCTGAAGACTACTGCTAACGCTACTACTACTACTGCAGCGCTCCTCCAGAGTGCTGCTGCCGAAACTTGAAGACTACCTCCTGCCTCCTGAACTGCACGTGAAGTGCCTGGGAAGTCCCCATGACACTACCTGCAGCCTGCAGGGCGGGCCAGTCCTATATAGTGCTGGCCCGTCCAGGAGGCTGCTCTTGCCAATGCCGAAACATGCCAGACCCTGGCGTTGAAGCTCAACCAAGGGTTGTCTTGAAAACAGGCCCAAAATGGCCTGTGCTAAAACCCTGGTCTGGTGCCTGAGTTTCAGGGGGTCGATCTCATGAGGGCCTGAAAATGGCCCTCCGTTTCAGGCTGAAAAGACTCAGGGCCGGAAAGGCCCTGTTTTAGGCTGAAACGACACAGGGCATGTAGGCCCTTGTTTTCAGGCTTTCAGGCTGAAACGACACAGGGCCTGTAGGCCCTTGTTTTCAGGCTTTCGGGCTGAAAACGACACGGGCCTGAAAATGGCCCGTGCAGCCTGTTGCAGGCGCAGCATGTAACACATAGCACACCAATAGGTTATGAAACCCCTTTAAACCACCAGTACTTCCTTGAGTCGTGCCCGTTAACGGGCCACAGTTTTAGGAAACGTACAGGCCACTACAGGAGCGCCCAAATTCATCCGACTAGAAACGTTTCAACTCTATTTTTTTTCCGCAGCCGATATCTGGGCCAGTACAGGTACTGGTGGTTTAGGCTTGGATCCCACAGTCTCTAGTGAGGGGTTTTAAGGTCCGAAAACCCGATCCCACAATGATACGGATGCGATGCGTGCGTCATACAAACCGGCTGTTTCTACTGTCAATGTGGGACGTGTCGTGCAGGCCGACACCCGAGCCGTGAAGCGGTGGGGACTTTCCCAGAAGTGGGCAGCCCCATCCCTGCCCCCAGAAAGTCGGCGGGCCTGTATGTCTCTTTTTTTTCTCGATACGGACCAACCAAAATTCAGAGGTCCCTCGCACGGCCACCGCTTTTCGCCCCCCGCGCTGTAACAGCCCACGAACGTCGGCCCTGTGGGGCTCGAAAAAGCTTATACGGTCCGAAAGGCCAGGTGCCTGCTTTTGAGGAACTTTTTCGATTTTTTGGTAAAAAGGCGTAGTCGGATCCAAGCCTTAATGCTCCAGATTCCCTTTGTTATGCTCTCCAGACACGACTTCAGTTTGTGCATGTGCTCGCAACAACGGACGCGGGAAAATTGCGGAGAACAAAAGTTGGTGTGATCACCGGCCAGACCTTCCCCCAGGGACCACCGCTGATCCGTAGCCAATCAATCAACAGCCCATTGGGTGTCAACTAAAACTACTCAGTAGACCAAATCACAAAGGACATGTATCTGTCTTTCTACCACTGAGCCAAAACACCAGAAAAAAAGGAGCATTCACAGATTCCTCCATCACCTAAAAACCCGCACACCCATAATTTTTGTCCACCACAAAAGGCACGACGTGCTTCAGAGTCAGCTTCGGTTGCACGGCAGAAGCACTCAGGAGTCACGACCAATTGTCAAAGACACTTTACTTTCGCTGTGAATAGATCCAGCTGACTACTACCATCTTCACCCGAACAGAACGCCCAGTCATTTTAGTTGGCATTTGGCACACCTTTTAGTCCAGATGCAGCGATGATTACCGGGCGATTAATACGGGTGAAGACGGAGAGTAGTGATTCCCATTACAGTGACAGACAGAGCAGCAGGGTAAGTGTCTCAGTTTGTTCTGGCTGTTGTTTGCCCCCTTTTCCACATTTTAGATGATGAAAAAATACACTGCCCATTTCACACATTTGCCGTGATTAGTGCACAAAGCCCCTCCCTCCCTCGGTGACCCACATGCACATCAGCGGGCATCAGAATACCGACGCATTGGCAAATCGACAACAAAAGAATGAAAGACAATGATCACAATCAATCATACCCAGGGCACCTTTAGTTCCTGCAGTTTTTTCTTGAAAAAAACAAAACAAAAAAAAAGGTTCCTGCAATGCGTTTCTTGGGGGGTAAAAAACCAAAAATCCGTTTTTTGCTGACTGCTTGGGCGAAGTTAAGGGTCTCGCTCCACTACAGTAGTGTAGACTCTTGAAACTTCAAGAGTAACACTTCGTTCCACTTACTCTAGATAGGTACTCTAGCACGTGCACTATTTTTGTCTTTTGTTTTTGGAATCTTCAGAGCACGTGCACTATGCAGGGTGCCCCAGCGAAATCCACGCTCAGCAGAGACGTCAACAAATCTGATTCCCAGTGATACACATTGCTGCCACCTCGTGAACGTCCTGGGCACTTGAATACAAGAAGTGCATGAGCAATCCCCTTTTCACCCCAGGTATGCAAAAATTAAGGTGTACTGGACTCCATGGCTTTCATCAAGTTTCATGTCATCGTAGGAAGCTGTTTTCTTATTATCTGTTCCAAAATTTTGCAAAAACCAAAATGGAGTTATGAACCACATAAAAACGGATACTGTAAAGTAGTCTCTTCTCTAAACTTTTGTACGCTCATTGGACTGAAGTCGAACCTTCACCACAGCAGTGGTGAGTATGGAAATCAACAGAGACGAACCCGGCCTCTTGTACAAGGAAACTTTCACACTTCAAACTGTCTACTGTACAGCACACAGCATCGATGACTAATAAACCGCTGTCGGAATCAGAAGCTGCTGGTCAAAGGCCATACATATAAAACCGGCTAGGGTCTTCACCCGAATAGAACGCCCGGTCATTATAGCTGCATTTGGCACAACTTTCAGTCCAGATGCAGCGATAATTACCGGGCATTCTATTCGGGTGAAGACGGTAGGGTAGCCAGCTGGAGCACTGAGACATTAGTTACACTATACCCAGCAACGACAACAAAAAATCAGACACTTCCAGTATCACTAGCTGCTGCTCAAGCCTATGAGTACAATTTCCAGATGGCACACAGCTCAAGTGCTGAGACAGCAGTTGTTTCACCGTGCTCAACAATGACGGCAGACTCGTGTCAGCAAGCAGCTTTTCAATTCCAATCCAAATACACTGTGGAGACAGTAGACAGCTAGCGCACTAAGACAGTTGTGACACAGCTCATTATTTGGCAAACCCGACAGAGGTCAAACGCTGTGCCATCTGTACAATCATTCTACTTCTCTGAAAACAACAGTCCGCTGCAACAAATGATGTAGAGCATACACTTTGCTGAAAACAACAGTCCATTGCAATAAATAATCTATCACCCGCCACGAATTCTTCTTCTGAAAACAAATGCTTCGCATTTCTCTCATGACGCACCAGATTATGTTGAACCACCAAAGTTAGGCCACTCCAAATTTTGCACCTGCCATAACCCACCCCTCCTTTCCGCTCCTTCCTTGTGCACAGCGGCAAGATTCAATAGAACTATGCCGGTGATGGTGGTTTAAAAAATAAAAATTTAAGAAAAAGAAGGTTTAAGGTGAGAGCTTTCAAAAAAAAAAGAAAAAAAAAAAAAAGTGAGAGCCACGACTTGAGGAGAGCTGTTCGTTTGTTCGTTCATCTGCGGGAAAAGAGGGTCTGTGGAGATATGCCACATTGATAGTGTGGATCTGTGATACACTTGCAGAAACCATCGGGGTCGTCAGGCAAAGAACTCGGCAGGGGCTTATCTGGTTCAATCCCCACTTTGTCTATGTCGATGTGAGCAGGGGTCTCATAACGTGCGACCGTTACCGCCATTCCTGATCCATCTGAAAGCTCAAAAACAGACTGGATCTTGCCTTTCCCAAAGGTCGGCTCACCCAGAATGACAGCCCTTCCATTGTCCTTCAGAGCACCAGCCAGTATCTCGCTTGCGCTTGCAGTTCCCTTATTAACGAGCACTGCCAGTGGCTCGGTAGGTGCGAGGGAGTCGGAGCCCTCTGCCTCAAAGATATCTCTCACGCCCTTATTGTCCACTATGTACACAATGACACCCCTATCCAACCACATTTTTGCAATCTCAATACCAGAAGGAAAGAGGCCTCCATTATTATTGCGAATATCCAAGATAAATGATGTCGCACCGCCCTCTTTCAGTCGTTTAATAGCCTCCCGCATGGCAACAGAGGAGTTACTGTTGAAGGATGAAAATCTTATGTAGCCTATCCTATGGGATCCATCCGCTGTCACACACAGCTTCCAAGAGACAGGATTGAGCATCACTCGCTGTCGTGTCAGGTTAATGGTGGATGGCGGTCGATCCTCAGCCGGGCGTTGAACCACCAATGAAACAGTTGACCCCTCAGGACCTTGCAGTCGCAGGGCTGCATCATAGAGGCTCATCGCGCTTATCGGTTCACCGCCGATCTCCAGGATGGCATCGCCTGCTTGAATACCGGCTCGTTCTGCTGGACCGCCAGCAACAGGTGCCACAACAACCAACTTCGATGGATCGTGATCGTCGGCTGCAATTTCCAGTCCAACACCCGTTAACGAGCCGTTGGTTCCTGTCCTCAAGCTCCTGAACTTCTCAGGCTCGAGGAACCTCGTAAATGGGTCGTTCAGGCTACCAGCCATTTGTCTGATCGCGTTGTAAGTCTGCTCACGCGAGTTCATGGGCACACTTTTCAGCACATTTTCTCTGTAACGAAACCAGCTTTGTCCATTGAAGCTCTTATCGATGAAAGCTCGGTCAAGGGTCCTCCATGCCTCTAGGAAAACCAGATTTTCCTCTGTCAGCGCCACCGAGGGCAGAGGTGGTAATACGGTAGCCCTACCTATGACAAGTAACATTGTGACGACTGCAGTGGATCCAAGCAATCCAACCAAGCGCCGCCTCCTTCCGCTCACCTCTTCCTCTGTGGATGTACGTCGTCTTTTCCCCACCTTGTCTGATAGCCACATCTTCACCAGTTCAAAATAGCTTCCGCAGTGATGATACCAGCCATCACTTCGCGACTGCCATGTAAGCAGCTGCAGCAGACAAGCTTTGCCTGCCACATGTTGTCCCAGATGCTGCACGTACGTCGGTAGTCTCACTCTCTGCCATTTGACCTGCAAACCCCTATCCCTGGAGAGGGTGCATTCCTTCGAATAGCTTTCATGTTCTTCTGTAACCGTCCTCACAGCCAAAGGCTGCGCATCGTCTGTCATTACCAGCTTCTCCTGCTCCCTAACTTGAACCCCCTCCCTCCCCCATGTACCAAAAGTAACTTTCCAAATGCTGCTCCTCCTCCTTCGACGGCAATTCCACGTAGAAAACAACCCACCTTCTTGTCTCATCCTCCTTTGACCCTGATCCCCAGACTTAAACTCGCTCTTGCAGAAGGCGAAAAACCCACACAAACACGCACGATTGCAAGCGAACGGTTGGTGGCTGCGGAGAAGGCTCTGCTGGGAATCGACAATGCTATGTCCGATCCCAGCTGCAGTTCTTGCAGATATGTGTCGACGCATTCTCTGTTGCTGCTTCTCGGGATGGTAACAGTACAGCACGAGAGTTCGGTTATGGGACGCATTTGCGCTTTGAGGATTGAACGAGTGGATGGGGAGGCAGCCACGACGACTTCCCCTTCCTCCGCCGCCTCCTGATGCTCCTACTACTGCTGATGATATTGTTGATACTGCAGCTGCTTGTGCTGGTTCAACAAAATGATTGCTGCCAGCTTGTCCAAATAGGCAGAAATGCCCGGCCCTACCTCGGTCAGGCAAGCAGCATACTGCTGACCAAGGCAACCCATCACGGGTGCAAGCCATACTCAAGACTTTCATGGCCTAAAGTCAAGAAAGGTAAAAATAAATAAATAAAAACTGCTGCAAATTCTGATGTCAACAGAGCTCCACAAATGTTAAATGATGAAATCTTAGCATACATAACTTACCCACCAAAAGAAGAACTCACTTCAACTCAGTATATTTCTGCACAGATGACACATTAAATTGCAAAGCAAAAGGCAAAGATGAGTATGTGCGGTGCAAACAGGGTCCCTCTGTACATCATGTCCATCCAAGTTCCTTTGTTGTTTTGTACCCTGGTATAGCATGACCACTAGAAAAAAGAGCAGCAGAAGAAAAAAACATGACAGTATGAGGGCACCAAAATAATTAAAAATTTGAACATCACAAAAAAAAAAAAAACTACTTTCTTCGACCTGCTCATGGCTAGACCAGCACCCAGTTTCGGCAAAAGATGGTCCTCTACCAAATTAGGAACCTAGAACCTAGGCTACCAGCCGGGCCGCCCGGGTCCCGGGTGGCCAGCCCGTGCAAGGACCAAGGACGGTCCCAGCAAAAAAAAAAAAAAAAAAAAAAAAAGTTCCAAAAAATCCGAAAAAAAAAACTATGTTATGCAGAAAAATACACTGAACAACTTTTGCCTGAGGGTCACATCGAAATTCTTTACCAAATTTCAAATAAAAATAAATTTTAACTTTTTTTTTTTTGGCCCGGCGGGGCAAGTGACCCCGGGCCACTCTGGGAGCCGAGCCTAGAACCCTTTAAGACCCATGATGAAATAGAAGGACATCTTTGGATAATGAACAAGTACTTGTTCCCAAGAACCGAGTGGAACGGACATAGCCATGGCACGCGCCACCCCGAAAAAGACCCCCCGTCCTTCGGGACATCCGTTAAAATTGGAACGATACAGAGAAAGAAGATTAGCATGGCCCCTGCGCAAGGATGACACGCATAAATCGAGAAATGGTCCAAATTTGAAGAAAAAAAAAAAGAGCCCCCAAGTAAATACTTGTCTGAAGTCGTCACAACATGGCGAGAAGCATTTCCAGAGAGGTTAAGGGGTGCTAGGACAAAGGAAGAAAGTTCTGAGGCAACCACTTTTTGGAACTGACCTGCTGACAGATCGAACGAATCAACTATGGATGCTACTAGGCAGACATAAGAGTCGAGCGCATGGATAGAGAACGGCATATGGAAGACAGAGCACATACGGGACGACCTAAACTGGAGATGGCAAAGGGAGAGAGAACTAAGAACACATCAAAAAGGGTGTCACAACTTGCAGAAAAACCTACAGGACCTATTAGAAAGTATATTGCTAGCGTGGAGAAAAATATCTAACCACTAGTACCTTTCCCCCGTGGGAAAATAGGGAAAACTGGCTACTCCTGAAAATTCGGAGGCTGGGCCCCGACGACAAACGAAATGACTGCCATTGATAAATCTGAACGGCGGCTGTCGTTTCGTTTGTCGTCGGGCCCGGCCTCCGAATTTTCAGGAGTAGCCAGTTTTCCCTACTGTGCTGCGCAAGCGCGGAAGCGCAGCCACTCGGGAGCGAGACTGGCCTCACACTCGCTTGCACTTTGTCGACGGCACTTGTACTTAGCGGTAAGGTCCCGTGCACCCCTGAAGAAAGTCCGCATACGTCTACGCCCTTATCTCAGTCTCAGGGCATTGGTGGTCCCGGTCCCGGCCTGTCCTGTCAATCGTCGGCCTTCCCTACTGTCCTCCCCCAACACAACACACCCTAATAACCAATGCATACAAGCGATCTTTCCTGTAAGATGCAGCCAAATACGTGCGGGTGTGTTGTGTTCGGGGGAAGGGGGTAGTTCACACCCTCCCCAGAATCAGTTCCGTTGTTGCTCGAATAACCAAGATTTAGACCCAAATAAAAAGGGGAAAAAAACAAGATCACCCCTGCCCATGTGGTGGGGCCGATGGCTGAATGATACACCGGCAGCGTTGAGTTTCCTCGGTGCCCGAATCTGGACGTGTTTGTTGAGATGTGCAGGAAACCACGTTGAGTTTTGAGTTTCCTCAACCGCACATCTCCACAAACACGTCCAGATTCGGGTGCTGAGGGAACTCACTGCCGTATTCCCCGACTGCCTGCTCTGCACACCTCCAAACCCACTTCGGCCCGGCCTTCTGAAAATCGCACCCTCGCGATATCGCCCGAAATGGAAAACCGGGCGCCGTCCATGAAAACGGCCCGCCGACCTCTTTTCATGACCGCTGGTCTGCCCCCCTCCAACCGCACTCGCGACCACCCGGCCAACCGGTCTCTGCCCCCGACCGCACCCTTCAATAACCCATCTTACCACCCTATAAACCCCTTTCGCCGTCGTCGACATTTCCTGAAAAAGGCGTACACAAAATGCAACCGGTATAGCGCAGCCTCCTGGCTGCGAATTTCCCCACGGGAAAGGTACTAGTGGTTAAACCGTGAGGAAGGGGGCCTGGGTGATGGCACAGAAATTTATCAAGTCGTCAGACAGACGCAAATATAGTGGAGGTTAGAAAAGATGGGACGGAATTTGAAGTCCAGGAATCAGAGTCTACATTCCTGGACTCTATATTTGAAGTCCAGGAATCAGAGTCCACAGAGAGATCCATAGTGGAGGTTAGAAAAGATGTTCTGACAGTCTTGGAATTCTTTACGAACAATCTTACTATACTTGATCGAACAAGTGCCCCAAGGCTCTCTCAATCACACAATGTCAGCCCAGATCGCCTACGGAAGGGGGGGGAAGGGGAAGGGAGGAGAGATCTGCTTAACAATAATGTCACTCTTATACTTGATGTGGACTTCCAAGAAGTGCCCCCAGGCTCTCTCAATTACAGCTTTTCCGCCCAGATCCAACGGAGCAGTCGAAATGAATATAGAAAAGAGCACGAATCTAGGCTACTATGCTTTGCTACTGTACCTTCCTTCATTATTGCGGACGTAGCCTCAACAGGTCCCCTACCTTCTTCCCCCGAATACAACGTACGGTCATTATATCTGTATCTAGACTGAAAGATGCCCCAAATACGGCTAGAATGACCGTACGTTGTATTCGGGGGAAGAAGGTAGTGTTGAATAGTAATTCCATGGAATAGATGGAATAGATTGTAGCCAGCTATGATCTCTGTGCAAATGTTTTTCCCATCCCATCTTGCTGCTATCGTTTGTTGGCATTCTGCTTTGCGCCTCGACCTGTAACCCTAAACCTTTACCGTATACTCGTGCGTTGCTATCCATTTCCTTTCTTCTTTTTTTTTTCTTTTTTTTTCTTTTTTTTTTTTTTTTTGCTATCCATTTCCTGGCACTGCCTGTGCCCCTATCTTCCATACCAGCCCCATTCTGCTGGGTCTACTTCTAGATCCTTTATGTCTCTAGCCGGTCTGAAAAGTCATATAGCTTTCTCTTCCCTCTCTCTCCTCTTCATGGCCTCCTTTTGTCAATTCTGTTTTTTTTTTTTTTTTTTTTTTTTTTTTTTGGTCAATTCTTTAATTGAGGGACATCTCTCCTCCCTCTCCCTTCCCCCCCCCTTCGAGAAAGATCTACTCTTCTCTCTCTCTCTCTCTCTCTCTCTCTCTCTCTCTCTCTCTCTCTCTCTCTCTCTCTCTCTCTCTCTCTCTCTCTCCCCCCACCCCTATCCCCTC